CCCCCACCCACTCCCCTCGCGTATCCCGCCAGGCCTCTGGCCAATGGGCGCCTGCCGGAACCCGCGCCCTTCGTGACGCAGACAGGAAGGGGGCGTGCCCGCCGGCCGGCCGGTATTCTGGAACCTTCATGCACTTTCCTCTCTCCCACCGCCCGCTCCGCAACGGACGGGGGGTGGAGCTTCGCCTGCGCGGGAGACAATGAGAGCCCTCCAGCGGCCGCATGCGGGTGACGACACCGGTGAGCGTAGGCTGAAGGAGGGGGCGGGGAGCAGAGAAAGAGCGCTAGAGAGCCAATCGCAGCACGGCGCCCGGAGCGTCGTTTGCATATTTCGCGCGCACGGGGTGGAGATGACCAATCAGATCGCGGGTCTGGCGGGTTCATTTGCGGACCGCAGCCAGGCAGAGAAGAGCGCCCGGCTCTCCGGGAGAGAGAGCCAGCATTTCTGGTGCTTTCTTAACACTGTCCACAAAAACGCACTCGTGGTAGCTGCTTAGAAGTCCAATATCGCGAGTGGGCCACCAACAAGTACTTCTTTTCAGCCTTATCCCAGTGGAATGGCTGCTTGCGCTCTGCGGTGCCCTGCTGCGTGCGTGCCCGTGCCCCGAGGCAGATGGGTGCCAACGCCTCTCTCGCAGCGATTCCGAGCAGCCTCCACGAGGGAAGGTGAGGCCGTTCCCCCGGCGCAGCGCAGAGCCGGTGACCCCTTCTCAGACCCCTGGCGCGCAGGCAGAGCGTGCTCCACCCTATCCAGAGGACGGGCTGCTGGAGTGCTCAGCTCCCAGGGTACACCGGAGATGCTCGCAGTGCTGTCTTGCTCCAAGTGCATTGTGCAGCAAGCCCTCATGGGAGCCATGCTGTTAGCAAGGGACTGCCTTTGCTTTTTTTTTTGTTTCGTTTTTCTAAATCATGGGCAGAATTTCAGTAGGACCTAAGAATAGCACTACCTGCGTCTCGAAATTAAACGGTGACATTTAAATGTGCAACTGTACTTTGCACAGCAGACTGATAGCAAGTGAAGAAGGCAGCCTGAAACAGCAGTGAGTCAGTGCAGGGAGGAGGGCAGTTTACCAAATGACTCATTACATTAGAAATTAAAGGCTGTTAACATACTGGACAAAAGTAGCTCATTTACTGTGTATCAGAAAAATTAAAGCTCGGCAGGCTGCACACTGACAAGTATTCTGTGTGGGGTTTTTTTAAATGATGGATTCGAACATTTTTTGAAGCCAATTTAGTACGCTAGAGATCAAGCACTGGTTCTCCTTTAAGCGTTTAAAACAGAATTGGGAAGAGAGTGGAGGTCATCAAAGACACACTTCCTATTCACGACAGTAGCATTTGTTGTTTATACGACACTTGCATCTGCATGCCCTGGTCGCAGTTTGGAAATCACGCATTTCCAAGACGGTTCTTCCCTTTCCCACCGTGTTCTCCCCCTTGAGTGTGTCAGTACAAACCGATCCCGGTTAAAAATAACCCAAGATTCCTGATACTGTACAAAAGTATGCAATTGCACAACTCCTCTCAAAATGTGTATCGCCTAATCAGGATTTTGGATGTCATCAACTCAGCAGGGGAGCCAGTAATAACATTTGCTCATGAATCAGGGGTAGAGAGATGGACACACCTATGAGACCACTGTGTTGTCACCACGTTTTGTTTTAAATGCTGTGTAATTATGTCGCAATTTTCACTCCCAGATTTCAGTAAAGAAGATTGATGGTGTTGGGAGACCTCTGCGCAAAACAGCCCCAGGGAAAGAAGACTGAACCACTGCAAGCGAAATCAACCACAGTTACGTTTAGTTATCCTAAATTCCACCTACATCTCCCTGACTGGAGATTCCTGTTAGCTAGTTCAAAACGTTTATCTGCAGAGAAGATCTAAACTGTCTGAACACAGCTCTTGGTGGCTCAAGGTTTCATTGTCGTCTCACGCACAGTTCAGGAGATGAACTGAAACGCATCGGGTGGTTCAGAAGTGAGGTTGCAGATACGGGAGTGGGAGGGCGATGTCACCGGAGGTGTGTATCTGTGCTGTGTCTGCGCTGGCACTATTTACCATATTAGCTTGCAGCATCTACATCCTCAGCCAAAATATCTGGGGTGAAATAGCTGCATGGAAGTCAAAACACCATTTACTGGAAAAACACCATACACTGAAGGTTTCACATATTTCACACTGAAAAAATACCCAGAAAAAAAAAAAAAGACCAGCTTTCCCACACTTTCTACACAAATATGCACATAGTCCTTGTTAGTTTAAAAATGGCATTTTCAACTCAGTACTTTTTCTCTTTGGATTCGGCTTGACAGCATGTGACACATCATACCACAGAAGATGGAGCATTGGTACAAGTTTAGTTGAGCTGTAGCGCTTCAGCTGCAGCACATTTATTTATAAAACAACCAACCAAAAAAAAAATTACGAAATCATTGATTCAAAGGAATCGATAATAAATATTTGCTTTCCTCTGAGTTGTTCAGACACAGTACAAGTACACCATTGATAGCAGGTAGAAGAGAGGTAAGCCTAGTTTAGCTGCTAAAAAAACAAAAGAAAGCTACATAGCATTGTATGCATTTAATCACACTAGTAACAACTGGTATATGACAGTAAATGCTTCAAGTATACTATTTTACAAAACAGATTTTGGCTTATGGTTTATTTGCTTCCCTTGTGCAATTCCTGACAGTATCATCTGGAGCTCAAAAAATGTCCCTTTGAGAATAAAGTACCTTTGAAGTTACCTCTTTCCTGTGTTTCCTTTGAGTAATGAACTTTTCCCTTTGGGCTTCATGCTAGCAACTGCAGTGCAGAAATGACTTTGTATTCACCTGTGAGATCACAGAATCGTAAAGGTTGGAAAAGACCTCTAAGATCATCAAGTCCAACACCACCATGCCTGCTAAACCATGTCCAAAGTGCCATACCTACACGTTTTTTGAACGCCTCCAGGGATGCTGACTCCACCACTTCCCTGGGCAGCCTGTTCACTGATGCGTAGTCTGAAAAGCACCACAGTGTTTCAGACGTAGTGATTTTAAATCACCATGGTGCCCACACTTTCTAACCAGGGCCACACATCTTTGCATCTTTGTTCCACGGCAGGAGAGGGCCATAGTGCTTCTTCTGACACAGTTTGTGTGCAGGGCAGTCTGCGCATGCCCAGACAGCGGGCACGCGTAGCGCCTGCTTCCCGACTGGGCTGGGAAAGCCGGGAATGATCACACACACCAGGCTTCAGCAATTGCTTCTAACTTCTTTTCCCCAAGGTCCATAAACTTTTCACCCCATGAAATCAGACAGATAGCTCAAGTGGCAAGGAATGACTTCTCTGCTCCAGGAGAGCTGGAGATGAGGAGATGGCTGCCATGGCTGATCTGTCCTGCAGCAGATTCCCGAAGGCCTCCAGGAAAGAGACTGCCAGGAGCAGGCTGGGCAAATTCTCCTAGCCAGCAGCAAGTGGCCTCTAGGCTGTAGGTAGAGCATCCTCCTCTTTGCTAATTGCAAGTCTGGCCGGTGACTCAAAGCTAACCTACAGCGTTTAGTACTCGGACTGTAGCCAGCTCGACTGTTTGGATTGTTATCCTTATTTTGTGATAATAAGCTTCTGGTTGCTCAGGCATGTATTCTTTACCGAGAAAAGCACACCCATTTTCGTATGCATAGAATAAGTATCCTCAGATACAACACAGGTAACATTAAGCACAATAAGCAACCGTAGAAAAAGCCACAAAGTACTTCAGCAGTTCTGCTCATGCTCTTCGGGACTTTCCTAGCTCTGGAGTATCTTGTAAGGGTACTGTGGGGTGCCTAAGCCTGACTCAGGGTCCAGGAAAAGAGCAACTGCAGAGGAGTCGAAGACTCTTAGTGCAGCTGCTTCCAAGCAATGACAGCCACTACCAAATCCACCAAAACACAGCTGATCCAGGAACGTGCCTTTGGAGTATCCAGGGAAACTGTCCAGGTAAAATGACACAGTATCCAACACCAGGAGCTGTCACGAAAGTAGAAGCTTATCAAACACCTGATATCAGATGTCTCCTCTGTTTAAACCTGTGACTCGAGGCTCGTTTCCCTGCACGACAGATCAGTACTTTGTCCTGCCAAGGGTGGCTAGGCTGTCTCTGGCATACAGAGAACAAGTGAAATTTTGGTACATGTGATGAAAATGGGTGACTGCTCCTAAGAAGAGAAGTTCTCAGATAGTGCGGGACAAGTTGGAAGACTATTTTCCATAAGGAAGTAGCCTAACAATGGCTTGGCTTTGATCAGATTGTCTCAGTCTCAAGTAAAGCAGATAGAATTCTGGGTCTCGGTCAGAAAAGGAGATTAATGACAGTCCCTGGAGTGAAAGAATTAGAGATTTGTGGTTCTTCTGTGCTGATCCCTGTCCTGTAGACTCATTCCAGAAACTGGAGAAAACTTTCCCTCCCTCAAATGAAAAAAAAAAAAAAAAAAAAGCCTCATTTTTTTAATAGAAAACCATCAGTCCAGGAAGAAAGGAATCTAGAACGTACAAGCTCGTGTGTGTAGCAGTGGTCAGAGTCCTTCAGGGAAAATATAAATGACAGATCTGCCTCCAGAAGAAGCCTGTCCCTATCTCCCATCATTTCCTATTAGCCTTCAACTTGAAGTGTAAGATTCTCTATTGCTTGGAAATGTTTATTCTGGCTAATTTAGTTACAGAAAATACTTCTACGATTCTTGCAATTTTTCAAGAGTTGTACTGAAGTTTAAGCCTCAACAATAGCCCATGGCCCAGTGTTTGGTGTGTAAATGGGACATTGCACACAAATACTTTCTAATGGAAGCAGCATTCTGTTTCTTTACCTGTCCCTGGTGTATTTTCCTTGCTGTGTGTTCTGTTACTCTATCCTTCAGTCTTACCTGGGTGCCTGAAGGTCAGCTGAAGGATACTGTTCGTTTAGTCTTGGGAAGAGCTCTCCGTAAGGCTTCTACAGCATGGCTTACCCCAAGACTGGTGAATACACAACTTGGTGATAGCAAAGATGTCTTCCAAATGCTGCGTCCAGGCTTTTTGGCAGATTTGTGGCCCTCACTTTCTGAGGTACTGCCTTTATTCTGGATTCAGTGCCCAATTCTCATCACACTAAGGCTCATTTGCTACAGATGCCTCTCCAGTGGAGTTACTGCGGCTTTGCAGTGCTGACCACAAAAGCAGAGTGGCTCCTGGCCGTCTCACTCTGGATGCATCATTAACTTTATTGTGGCAATCAAAGCACCTCTGTTTCCTTCACAGAAAGGGTCCTTTCTCTTTAGCACAGAGGTTAATTCAGACACATGCCTTAATACTGCATCCCTTGACATTTTTGAGTGATCCTTTAATTTCCACTTTGGTTACAGCCTCCAGAAGTATTTCATTATAAGTCTGAATGCAGAAAACGTGAAGCGTCTGTCAGTTCCCTTTTGGGGCTGAGTACCAGACTACCCTCAGCAGAGAGTCTGCCTCAAAATCTTCAGATAAGACAATGCATCTTTGAGAAAGTTCTCCAAAACAGGTACAAGAGACTTTTCCTTCCCCACAAAACCTGTCTCAAATATGTGTCTTTATGTCTCTGTTGATCCGTTTTAGAAAATCCTGAGGGTTGGCTTCATTTCATTTGTACAGCGCTTAGCTGTTGCCGTTTGAAATGCTCAGTGTTTCATTTCCAAAAAGGATAATGTAAAAAGAATGCTCCCTTTTCCCTCAAATATGTCTTTCTTCAAACAAAAAAATTCTGTACGAGAACCTCAGTGCTGGAAGATGTAAGAAATAGTTGAGTGGGAGGGCTTCTTGTGTTGTGAATAATCACAAGTGATTAAAATTAAGCTGACCAGGAAGATAACTAGCTAATCTAACAATTCCTACGTGGCTGGTGTTATGTGAAGTGTTTCTGGACAGCAGGAGTCTCCAGACGGCTGGTGAGCAGTCACACGGTCTGGAACGCTCGGCTTTGGGCAGGCACCATGACCAGCGTCGCTCCCATTTTCATCAGGTTAGTGTAGTCGACTTTCTTTGGCTCAATTTCTTTTCCTTCTGTTTCCCTCTGGCTGTACTGGGGAGGAGTTACGTGGGGAGTAGCTTCCGTTGACAAAGTCCGTTGGCTGCGAGAGGCACTGTTGGCTGTCGACCTAGTTGAGGATGAACCTGAGCGCGAGCTTCTGGAACCAGAGGAAGAAGAACTGGGCTTGACGAGATGGGCCTTGGGTGCCTCTGCATCTTCTCTGCAATCAAACAGATGACAGGGCTCAAATACCATGAGAACAGAAGCGCTTATACATTTTACCAGACTGAACTGCTGCTGCAATGAAGCTGCAAATGACCAGGGGCTGTTTGTCCAGCAGTCAGAGCGAGGTACAGGGTTTTCTGAATTCTGTGCTACATAACTTTGTGGACTAAACTCCCTGTTGCGCTACAGAGCTACTGGTCAAATGGGTTTAGAATACATGCTGCGCATGATGGGCACTTTTGTGTGCAGCTTTAAGGCCCGTGGAACGAACGGCAAGTGTCAGTGCAAACAGTTCAGATAGAACTGTCTGCTCTGTAATCCTTACTCATAATGACAGATCATCTAGAGAAGACTAGCTGAGACCCGTTCTTCTAGTTAAAAAAAAGTGCAAGAACTGGGCCCAGAGAGAGAAGAGGTAACAGTCATGTGTGAAAAGGTAATACAAGAGGCTGAAGCTCAAACTAAACATAAAAAGGCATGCAAGATTAAAAAGCAAAGAGAGTGGGGAAAAAAGAGAAGAAATCAGCAGAGACTACCTTCAGGCTGGCAACCTGATCATCAGGCAGAGTAATCAGCTGCTGAATGGATTATAGAGATGCTTAATGGTACACAGATGTCATATGAAGACAGGCAGTCTTTTACAGAGAGAAATAGGGATGGAACAAGGCAAGGGGTTTCTTCAAGGACAGGAACAACTAAAACTCATTCCTGGAAGTACCTTTTTCCAGCACTTTGCTTCCTGTGAAGTTTAGGCTCAATTCGCTGGAGACCAATCTCTGCTTAGGGGAGCTAAGTGGCAGACCTCACACGCATGTAACAGATGAGTTCAAAGAACATGCGTCAGCATTCTTGGTGCACCCGCTCAGGGCGAGGCTTCTCAACTCTGCACACAGCAGCTCAGGGGATTTTTTACCCTGAGCTAAATCCAGAAGCACAGTTGTTCAAAAGACTCAAGAAAGACTGTGAGAACCTGCGTGCCTCGTAGCATTCCCAACAGAAGTTGCAATAGAAAATAAAAAGAAAAAAGCTCCCTACAAACCTCTCAGAACCACAACAGACAAGTGGGTTGAATTTAGTAGTAGGGAGGATTATGCAAATACTTTAAAATGCTGAAATTGCAAGTGTGAGAGAGAATATTTTGTTGAGTTTCATGCTAATTTGTCCTGGGGCTAAAAAAAAAAGACATTTTCATCTACCTAATTTTGTGGAAGGCCTTCACAAAGATTCTCACAGTCAAGAAATTTGCCACTGATATTTCGAGGAGACTTTATAAGCTTTTTAGAACGTGCTTTTAAGACACTTAGACCAAGATTACTTAAAACTGTAGTGAAAAGATGTGTGAAACTGAAAGAAGGGAGGGTGGGAGGTGGGGCATTAAATAAAGGGTGTTACCTGATTTCGTTTGGTGCCTCCTCTTCCTCATATCTCTTCTTTTCTTTCCTCCTTATTGTCAGCCTCACCACCAGGAAAAGGAGGGAAAGTCCCACCACCACGCCACAAACCGCTCCAGCGATCATTCCGATATTTTGTGCACCTGTTGTCCAGAAAATAAATGTGTTAGTAAACTCTCACTAGGGTCATCTGGTCAGAATCTAGTCCGCAATACAACCTATAGCACAGAGTACAAACCTGAACAGAATGTATTAGTCTACTTATTTAGGCGTGTCTCCGCAGAGAAGCTGAACCAGTTTTTCTTCAGGCATTGTTTCTAAACCTGAGCTAACAGCAAGAAAAGCATTCATCTCTGGAAGGGTGGGATCACAAGTGCCCTGTGTCTTCAGATATGGGTCAGAATTGAAATGACGAGGAAAAATCCTCTCAGAAGAGCACAGAACCACAAAAAGTAGAGAGGCAGACAGGACAACTCACATGCGAAACAAAGCACCAAGCAGTTTTCTAGAGGCGGAAGAGTATTTGAAGTATGACTGTTTTCCCACGAGGATTTTTTTTCCCCTTCAACTCACCCTGAAATGATTACAGTCCACTTGCAGAATGAATTATTCAATTGGGGAAAAGTGTGAGCCGAGGGGGGTGGTAGAGAGGAGGGAGGAAAGGAAAACCGTACTGTGCAGGTGCAAGGCAGTTTTCATCCAAAATAACAAAGTTAATGAGAGAACACTTCCTAGTCTATACGGGCCCTTAGCTGATACTTTATGACAACTTCTTTTGACAAGAGTGGTGTGGTTGGGTATGGCTGAAAGTTGTTTGCTCAAGGCTCGTCTCCATGGAGAGTTTAGCAAACTAAAGTGAGGTTTTAAACCAATTCAGTTCAATTGGCATAAAAGCTGCCTGGACGCTTTTACTTCAGATGCCTGAGGCGAACATGTTTTCCTTGCCACATGGCCATATTCCAGTTATTTCAGGCCAGGCTGGGCAGAAAAATTCCAGAGCTATTGAATCTCCAGAGAGGAGACTATTAGCAGTCTCTTACCACTCCCCTTTTATCAGCTCTTCCCTGAAAGCTGCACATAAAAACCTCCTAAACTGTGTTGTCTAGATTTGTGCTCAGTGCTGGTGCTAAATGCCACCCTTTTCCTTGGATGCATATGCAGAGACACAGACACCTAGACACGCACGCACCCTTGATGGGGTCAATCAGGCAGGACATTGATTTTAATCTCTGGTGTTCAGAGGTGAACAAAATTTATTAAATCTGGATTAAACAAATTTTGTTTTTTATTCTGCACATTACTTCATGTCAAAGTCAGCCTTTCCAGCTGCCTGTAGATAGTTTACTGTCTTAAGTGTAACAGATAAGTAACTAGGAATTGGAATGATGGACTATCCACACGGAGATTTTGCCCTTAAGTGTAATCTCATGCAATCGCTGTCACTCCAGCCAGAAGTACCTCAAAGGCTGGAGGCTCTGGAACCTCGAAGTCACGGTTTTTTCCCTCGTATTTCATTAGTCATGCTCAAAATCAAAATTTCTAACAGACCAACATATCTGAGCCCAAATTATGTATTTACCACTGTAGGTTAAACAGAGGACTGCTGTGCAAACCATAAGCACAATAAATAAGAACTACATGTGATTCAAGTATGGAAGGGCAAAAGTGTGGCACAGAGATGGTGCAAATACTAGTTAGTGCCAATACTTACGCTGCACTGTCACCTGAACAACACAGCTTTCTTGTCCAGCCTCGTTGGTGGCAACGCACTGGTACAACCCTGTGCTCATCTGCGTAAGATTCTTCAGTAGGACTTGCCCGGGATTTGAAATGTCTGAAACAGGAAAAGCACCACTGGGATTAATCAAAAAAAAGACTAAGAAGCCTGAACAGTGGATAGGACACAGAAGCAAAAATTGAACTTCCGGATCAAATCAGTTCAAGAACAGTCAATGATACCTCACAAAAGATAATTTTTCAGCCGTCAGCAAAACACTAAACAAACTCCTCATGCACTTCCTTGTTCAGGGGGGAGCACAGCACAACGTCCAGCTGCAGTAGTGAGAGGTATCGTTATATCATTGCTATCACTGCCACCAAGTGACCCCTGTTTAAAAAGCAGGCATATGACTGTACATGTGCATGTCGTACATGTAGGTGGTTATCTGGCTTTGAGCGTACCGAGAACTCTAAGAGGAAATAACTTGACTTACTGACTCTTGATGTAGGCGGGAGATGTTCAGGTCTCTCATCTTCCTCATTTATGCGCTGCCATCGGTAGGAGATGGGTGCAGTGCCAGAGCTGGAACGGCACTGCAAGGACAGTTCCTTTCCTTCCAACAGCTCACCTTCTAGCCAGCATTTGGGCTTGGAAGGTTTTTCTAGAAGAAACAGAAGACGGGTCATGCAAATGCAGCGGACAATTTTCTCGGTAGAGAACCCTTTCTTTGGCAAAAGTACGTAATTTAAGCAGCTTCCAAGAACTACCCTCTCTGAAATGCATTAAGGAATTACACCAGTGATGTTTGTTAGGGGACCTTAGCTGCAGCGGCGTGCAACATAGTCTAAGAAATGGAGCTGGCTGACTCAGATGTAGACATGACACATTATAATACTCTGGGGCAGTTTGCCTCGTGGAGACTTGCATCAGTGGAGGTGTAGCACTGCGTTCCTCTTCTAAGTACTATTTAGAGAACATCATTTTTCTCCCCCTACTTCTCCATTTCTTCCTTCTCCCCACAGCATCTGGCAGGCCACAGCACTTTTCCCACAGGATGATAGTGAACACGCCAAAACCCAACCAGTAAACTGAAATCAAGGAAGCGAAATGCTACCCTGGTGGCTTATTTGTCACCTCCAGTGACTTGGATCAGTATGGGGTCCTGGGACATGAACCCAGCGTCCTCAGCAGGAGATCTGGACAGAGTGATCGACATCTAAGCTAGAATACCAGTCTAGTTTGTGTGATGAGATCATAGATATAATTTAGAAAGAACAGTTCATACGATTTTGCAGGTGATTATACTTACCCCACAACAGTTCTTAAGGCTCTTCCTGTGTCCTGTCCTTTGCCAAAAAATGCAAAGGCAGATATAGAGTCGGACAGTGAAACCTGATCATGAGATGTCTTTGTATTTATACCCCGCTGAAATAAATCTCTCTCCAGGAAATGAGCCTAGCGATTTATTTTTCTTTGAGAGAACAATAAAACGCCCTTACCTACAACCTTCAGGGTGATGCGAGCCCATTCATACTGCCCAGCATTTTTAACCTTACATATGTATTTCCCCGCATCGCTGGACTGCAGGGATGTGATTTGTAAGGACGCATCTCCAGCAAGGAAGTTAGAAGTGAAGGAAACGCGCCCCTTCTGTTCCTCATTCAGGTCATCATAAACACGGCCTCCAGAGTAAGTGATCACCTGAAGAGCAGAAACAGTCACTGATCAGCCGGTTATAATTTTACTTTCACACAGAACAACAAATCAAAGCATTTCCAGGAACTGCAGACTAAGGTTCTGCATGGTTAAGTGGCTTGCCAAGGGTCACACAGGAAGCCTGTGACGGGGTGGAAAATTAAACCCGAATTTTAAGTCTGAGACTGATACACAAACTGTACTTATGCTAAAGATTCATACTGGAGCGTTAATACTAGTGTCAAAACAGACATCAGCTTATACCACAGTATGTAAAAGCAATCTTTAATTTTGGCTGGGTTTGACTGGCTAATTTAAGTTACTGCAGATCTGATTTTTATAAGTACTAAACTAATATATTTTTTCCCTGAAACCAAGGTTTAAAAAATTTGGCCTACAAAATCCAAGGTCACTTTTGAAAACCTGAAGGGCAATTCTAAAGTTTATCCACTGACGACAAAATACGTAACAGTGTTAGTTTGAAGAAAATTCGATTGTAACACAACCTGTTCCTATACAGCATACATAAATATCAAATAGCTTTTATATATTATAAATCTCTCTAAATAAATCAGCTGTGTTTTCTGAGCACTGCTTACTTCATCAGAATAACTTGCAAAGATCATCACAGAAGTCTCTTTAAACCAATGGCTGCTGCTGATGTCAACATAGAAATAAGATGATTTTCTCAGCAGATGCTAATCATGGCTGAACCTACCGCTTTTTGTACCGTTTCCGAAATGTGCAGCAGCCACTCAATGTCCAGGCTCCCCTGCTCCAGGAGGCCCAGGCGGTGGTGACAGGGCAATGTGACATTTTCTTCAGCTACTCTCTTAAATTCAGTCTGTGCCTTGGACAGCCAAACAGAACAGGAAGCTGAAAGACAGATGCCAGTGGTCAGAGGCTGGAATTAGGGATGCGTCTCTGCACTGAGAAGTGTTGCTAGCTTAGGTTTCACTGGATTCTTCCTCATTTGCTTCACAGCATCAAAGAAAACCCGACAGCTTGGCTTCCTGGACATATTGCAACTGATTAAAGGGGACATCTATACATGCCTAGACAGTTAGTTTCACACTAATATTTAAGCACAAAGAACAGATGGCTTCACACTCCAGAGCAGTCAATACTAAAGTCGCACCCATATCCTTTATGCGCTCAAAATTTCAGATAACCTGCTTGGTTTGGCCTTCACCTTTTATTACCTTAATTTGCGAGCAGTATTTCAACCCAGAAGACCTTCAGAGCCTATCACTTTATTCCTGTGTCAGTCTGGCAAGGCTTGGAGCCTCTTCCCTAACACTGGAAGATACTCGTTGCATGCATTTCAGCACTGGAAGTAAGAGACCAGCCCGGGAACAAGAGGGTTAACCTTGAGAAAGGCACAGGACAAGTAGGCTAGTGAAGCGTCTTTGAATAGCAACGTCAAAAAAAATCAGAAGCCGCCAAGAAGGGTTTGTCAGGATTTAAAAAGCCCAGCAAAAGGCGGTAGTTGCCAAGGCCAGCACTAGAGGGAAGCAGAGCCCGGCAAGCCCACCCGCAGGCTGCTCCCACAGCGCGGCCGGCTGGGGGTAACCCCGGTGCGAACTCCGCTGAAGCCGGCCCAGGAGACCAGAGGTGTGGAAAAGAGCGGGCAATGGGCTCGGGGACCCCTCGGGCCTGCTGCGACACCAAGTAAAAAAATTTCCAACCGTGTTTCCATGAGGATTTCCGGGGCACAAATGCCACGTGCCTGTCGCGTACGAATCTTCATAGCCCTTGGGTTGTTCTTCAGTTTTGTGGTGCCAGAAGAAAGCGTAAAAGCATTTTTTCCCTCTGTGAGATAGATGTGACATATTTTGCCTCTTGGACCTTTATTGTGAAACTGATGAAAACTGTGAGAGTTGGCAGCACGTGCGATGGAACGTACAATCCTGTGATGACATAGCAAGATGACTGGCAAGAGCAGAAGAAGCTCTAGTGACATAGGCTAGATTTGTTCCTGTACTTGTATTTAAACAGTGGAGCTTTAACCTTTCTCTTACCCTTGAAGTGGAGAAAAAAATCCACCCCCCTTGGAAAAATTACATCTGACATAATACTTCCTCAGCCTTTCCTGTGTCTTCAGGACCTGCGCTGGTTTTAGAAAATTCATTCTGTTCCTGCTCCCATTCTCAGATCCGCCTCCGAGTTGTTAGTGTGACCACCCCTCAGCTCCCTTCTATGATGTGTGTGCACATACCTAAAACATCCAGAATTTTGAGATGGGTGGAATCTTACAAAGGATCAAGCTCTCCTGCCCCACGCAGATGTCTGTAGGAGTCCATGACAGCAACAGCCACATTAGTGGCTTTCTTTAAAGGGAAAGTTAATCCAGTTTACCACTGGATTCACTAGTCTCAGAGCCTCATCTGCCAAACCCGATTATGTATTCTGCCTAAAATGAGTGCCTGCTTTCTCCCACAGCCCACACTGCTGCAGGCTGCCTTCATTAACATGCTGACACTCACTAGATGACTGATCAATAAGCTTAATTGAAGCACCACAAACAGTGAGCATTCACATAACATTTGCAACATTTTCAAAGTCCTGCACCAGCAGAGCACCGAGGTTTTGTGCACACCTCACAGGGTATTCTGCATTTTAAGATGTAATTACATATTAAATGCCTTGATCAGGATTTATAAATTGGCTTTTGAGGGAGTACAAGCAGCACCATTTTCATTCCTCTCTGGCTTGGACAGACTGTTTTTTAGGAGAGCTCACATCTTGCTCTGTTCTTGTTGACCCCAGCAAACACGCTCTGGATGTGAGAAATAGCCCTGTGCCTACAAGTTCATCTTGTAAATGAGAGTGAGGTCAGGGAGACAGCCAGGGAGATAGTAACTACAAATTTCTAAAGCATCCTTTGTTTCTTCAATATATGCAGTCAGAGATGATGTGGAACTGATTCACCACTGAACTGACAACCAGATTGCATACTTCTCTATGACAAGTATGTCTTACTAAAAAACCAGAACTTGACCCTTTAGTCCTTGTTAGTTCTTTAGTAACACCCACAAAGTCACAAGGAAGTCTAAGTTTCGCAGGCGTTCTAGACAAAACCCTCACTTTATTTTCTTTCTAGTCATGTATACCTGAAAAAGAAGCTCAAAACACAGCTTCATAAAAGTATCCAACATAAGGTGTCAGTTGTAGAAATTACCCATACAAAATCCAGAGAGCTTAATGTGAACAAGCCTCAGGCCTTACAACAGTTTGGGTAGGATGTCAGTGTAGTAAAGAGTGATGAAATGGAAATTTACCTTTAGATAGGTGCTGGAATTTACAGCATACACTGGGGAAAGAAAAAAGGAACTAGAGAACATACACAAGCCACCTCTGGGTTTTCAAGTGCTTTATTATTTACTGAAGAAACACCCTCTGAAGTTCTCTTGTCTTTGTGTAGATGAGACCTAGCAAGAACAGGTCAAAGAAATGAGATTTTGCTGGCAGAGCTTTTACCATTTATTGGCCCTGTCCAAGTTTAAGTTTCATTTAAATGAGTACGAAAGGAGAGTGTCTGCTTCTGGAGAGCCCCTTATAGCAGCAAACACCTCCATACACAGGCCAGGACACACACTGGCTGGTCTGCACAAGCAGCTTGCTCCTAGCAAGCACTTTTGCTGTGCTGGAAGGGTGCACGGCTGGCTCCACACCTCTCCGCTTACAGAGCTCCACAGCCACACGAGGGCAGAGCCTGTTCAGGGTAACGCCTCGAAGGCTGGCTCTGGTGGGCAAGAGCTGGTTCTCCCAGAAGTCGGATCCAAGAGTCTCGCTCCGTGCTGCCACATACATGCAGGCTCCGCTGTGCTTACCCCAAAAACCTCTTCCCTCTCCACATCCTGTGTGAAGCTCCTCATGCTGCAGAAGGCAACGCCAAGATTGCTTCTTTCAGCCTTACTCAGGCCTTACTCAGCCCATGTCCCATGACCTCAGAGAGGGGCTGGTTTGTTTTTCCTACAGAGCAGGAACCCTACAGCTTATTACGACAGCAGCATTTTGAAAGCATTGGCCACGGGCCTGAAAAAGTGTTGAGTGCAGCACCAGGCTCGCTGACACACCACAGGCAACGCAATGTTCTGTATTTGGCAGGGGAGGAGACCATTGTAATGTCTAAATGTCTGCTCCATTGTTCAGATGACAATAACTCGCCCAGCACCCTGCAGATGAGGGAGGAAGATTGTCTCATCCCCCACTGATGTTTTAAATGTCCAAGAAATACAGAGCAACAAATATTGTAAACAACACCCAAGCTAGCACACCTAAACAGACAGTGCCCAAACAGCACAAGCACAGATTGACCAGGGGAAGGGCACAGATCAGGCCAGGGCACACAAAGCAGGTTTCAGCCCTCTCAGTTACAGGCCATTCTGCCTTGCACACATAGCAGATCTTAAAGGGAAAAAAGTGGACAATACCTTGCATCTTTCTCATGCAAAAATATCAGTCTTAAAGCACTCCCCAGAACTCATTTCAACACTTTTGAAAGACTACTGATTTTGAATGTATCGCATATAAGATGGTTTGAGTTTCAGAAAAACCTGCACTTCAAAACAGATTTAAAGGGAAGGAACCATCTCTCCTGCACAATGCTGCAAGTGCTGAGCAAATTGGGTGTGTGTATTTAGACGTATCACGGATTATGAACATGCAAAGTAGTGTTTTCATGTCTGAATCCTTAATGTGATGACACATGCTTTCATATACATGTTATTATGAAGCTCATTTCATTTTCATGCCCATCCAATAACAAGTGTATATATATACACAAATGCACATATATATATCTCAACAAAATCACACATGTCTGCAAGGCACATAAACAGACAAGCGGAATCAAAGTAAAAATAAGTATTTCACTGACATTTTTATTTACAGGCAAATTCATGTGCTAAAGCTAAAGAGCTTCCAGATTTAAATCTTTCATTACATTCAGAAGTGGGCTTGAATTAGGGAACAACGCTAAATATAGATTATACTTCTAAAAAAGTAATAAGTTGTGCTATATCACTTAACTGCTGGAATTGGGAGGAACAACCTAGAAAAGATTCAGAGAATTAAGGTACAAGAAATCCACAATGATGGTTTCTAAACTCGGCCCAAACCATACCTACACCAAGCTCATTTATAATATGAATACCCAAAATAGATCTTAAATTTCAGCTATTCCAAGAAATGCTATCAAGTTCATTCAGCTACACTTTTTATAGTTTATTTTGGCTTTTTATCAAGGATGACATTTGCAACAGACTATTCCAAAATACTGACGTCCACAGAGGAGTAAAAAGGCAGCCCCTAATTTTCCTGCAACTCAAGACATCCTGTACTAGCACCAGAGAGAAGTGACTCAGGAAGCAAGTGACTCCAATGTACTGCTGATGAAAACTTTCATCCATACAACATCAAAAAAGGAATTCCAGGAGGCTATCTACACACACAGTTTCTAGCACTGTCTGGACAATTTCCATTTCACCTGTGATAGGTGCTCTGTCTGCTTTTGTTCATTAATATCAAAATGTTTTCTGGATGAAAGTATGACAGGAACAGTGAATGGCCACTGTTGTCAAGACTCATAACCTCCTTTCTGAAAGAAGAACACTCCCCTACAGACAAGTTCTCAAATGTAACCAGTAATTTTGTAGTCCAATTTTGAGTCCTTCGTGGGATAATCTTAACAAAATTTTCACATCTGTATGATTCAACTATCTGAAAATGGAGTCCTGAGAAAGACATTCTGGTCCTATAGTCCTCTACTAACATACACATTCTTCTGAAAATCCAGGTGAGCTGTTGGAAATAAAAAACCACCTCCGTGCATCTGACAGTCCCATGCCACAGCTGGTCTCATCTAGACTTCC